GGCAGGGAACACTGGGGACTGGTTTTCAATTTTTCTTTTTCTTTAAGCAGTAAGCTCTTCCTTTTCCCCAAATGAAACATATATGGAACTCCAGAATATAAAACAAGTGAAAGAAAAGCTGCCTTTGAGGTGTCTTCACAGAACCCTGGGGTCCCTGGGGGCAAGACTGCCAAGTATCCCCTTGCAACTCTCACAGTTTGGAGGGAGGTGCCCAAAATACCACCCATGTTGTGGAAGGTGGCATCTTGGGAGCACAGACAGAGTACCTGGACAGTAACCTGAAGCCCCCTGCAAAATCAGGTGGAGGGAACATTCAACCTGAATTTCTGAGGGTAGTGGTTAAGATGTATACTTGAACTCTCACACCTTCAAAAAAACCTCAGTCCAAGCCGCTTGATGTCCAATGCACCTCTCCAGATTGTTGGAAAGGATGAAACGAACTGACTCAGTTACATCTCACTTTCAAAAGAGGAAGTTTTGAAACCCATGGTCCCCCCTCCAGCTCTAAAATACTAAGCCATCTGTCCCAGTGACACAAGCAGGCTCTGAACTCGAGAATGCCGAGAATACCACAGGAATATCACATCACTACAAATTACTAGGTGGTGCTCGGGCTCTAAGAAAACGGAACTGAAACAAAAGCCTTGCACTGTTTTTGAGATGCACATTTGATATGAGCTAATCACATCGTTTTTTGAGATTATTTTCCTGGAGGCAAAATTATTCCACACAGTTAAGCAGCCCTTCAGTTACCACTTTTGTTGTATCTGTGGATAAACACACAGCCCATGTAGTGGACGATTTTCTCTCTCACTGAAGTTTCTGAAGACAAGGCCTTTTTGTCACGGGTAAATGCAGGGCCAGTCAGCCTTACAAAAGGAGTCATTTAATGCTCAATTTCCCCAACTTTCCTATGATTAAAAACTTCTAACCTCAAATGCTGTTATTGTGTTTTAGACTGTTTTCTTTCCCCCTCCCCCACCAAATGTTTAAATTGTCTCTACTCTGCAAGATAACCCTCTATTTTTGCCCCCCAATCTGACCTTGAAAACAGAGACCCTCTGCTTTTCTTTAACATGCCCTAAACTATTCTAAAATTGAGGCCCTCTGACCTTTTTTACCACACCCTCCTTGTCTGACAAACCAAATGCTGATCTGAAAGCCAAGAGGAGGTAAAGGGTCTGGGGGGCTGGGAAAGGGAGGGAGGGAGGTACTATACATTTGGCATCAGTTCAGAAATTCAGAAAATGTTTGTGCAACCACTCCCCCAGCCAGGATCCACCGCACCCCCTGCCTTCTAGCACATTAATAAAAAAAGATGTGAGCGATGAAATTGGAGAGCCCGGGAGGGACACCCAAGGTGGTCATAACTGTGCACTCAGACAAGCCCACTGATCACCGTCCCACACACCCAGCCCGCATTCCTCCTCTCTGACAGCCAAAGTTTGCGATCAAGACCGCCCCAGCTCCCACCCCCACCCCAAAAGCACCCAGTTAAACGGGAGCAGCACCGCCCATTAACGGCTTGTGCGAGACAAACGGAAGGACTGACACCACCTCTGCCCGTCGGGGGTGGCAGCGCTGGCACCTTAAGAATCATATTGTTCTTAAAAAAAAAAAAAAAAAAAA